CACATAAGACTTCCCCGGCGGGTCTATCAAACATCGAAGGAAGAAATAACACCAGTTTACATGAACTCATTTTTGTTTTACATGAACTCATTTTATGATGCCCGTATAACTCCCTCACCAAAACCAGACAATGATATTATAAGAAAGGAAAATTATTGGCCACTATTTTTCATACACGTCAGTGCAAAACTTCCAAATCAAATTCAGCAATATCTAAAATTAAAAACGAAGGATACCATGTCATGACTACATGGAGTTTTCACAAGAAATTGAAAGTTGTTTTCATATTTGAAAATCAATGTTATTCTCAGTAATATCATCGCAATAAATGCAAAAACCTGATCGCATTCAACACCCATTTAACATGAAAGAAAGGGGCACCGGGGTGGCTAAATGGGTTAAGGGTTTTCCCTGGGCTCAGGTCCTGATCCTGGGGTCCTGGGATGGGGACTCGGCTTCCAGCTCTCCGCCTGACCCTCCCGCCAGCTCATGTTCTTTCTCTGTCGCTCGCTCTCTCTGTCCAATAAATAAATAAAATCTTTGGAAAAATAAAAGATGGAAAAAATCCCTAAATATACCTCTAAATAGACTAGGATTAGAGAAACCTTTCATGATTAAATAAAAGCTATCTATGAAAACTCTGCAACCAATACCATATAGAATCAGTAAGAGTTGAAAACTTTCTCCCTAAGATTAGGAGCAAGGCAAGACAATTTTTTCCTTCGCTTTTATTCCACATTGTAATGATGGTTCTAGCCACTTCTGTAAGATAAGGAAGATAGGAAAGGAGGAAGTAAAACTATCTTCCTTGGCATGCAACATGATTGCTTCTGTAGAAAAGCTTAAGGAAGGTCAAGAAAAGAAACCCTACCAATAAGTAAATTCAGCATGGTTGCTGGGAACAAAGTCAAAAGTTTAAAATCTGACATAGGACTATCACCAGGGACAAAGTCATCGAGGCCATCTAGAGTTTTGCCATTTGCATTAAAAAAAAAAGTGGACAGAAGACTTCAACCAATCCTTTACAAAGGAGGTTATGCTAACAGCCATTCAGAACCTGAGAATGTTCTTGTCATTGTTCATCAAGAATGACAAACTGAAACCACGGTCAGATTCCACTGTGGTGTGATGACTAAAATTCTCTGTAGAATGACTAAAATTAAAAACTCAGGGGAGGTCAATTAAAAAAAAAAACTCCAATTATATTCCTTTATTTGTTTTCTCAGAGGACCAGCTTTTTGACATTCTGTTTTTCATTTTATTAATTTTTGCTCTTATTTATTGTTAATATCTTTCTTCTTTTGGAGGCATTCATTTGCTATCCTTTGCCTAACTTCCTTACACGAACGTGGACATCACTGATTTTCAGCCTTTCCTTTTTTTGTTTATGTATTTAAGGCTCTAAATTTTCTTGCAATCATGACTGTACTCCCCCACGGTTTTTGAAGTGTCCTATCTTTGAATATTTTAATTTTGAAATGATTTGGAAGTTACAGAGACGTTACAAGAAAAGTACAAAGGAAACTTGCAGATATGCTTCATTACCCCGCGAATACTTTAGGACGTATTCCCTGCAAGCAAGAACATTCTCCTACATAACCACGGGACAACCTTCGAAATCGGGAAATTAATATTGATTCATTACTCTATTCAACCAAGAGATCCCATCTGACGTTTGCCAGTTTAGCCCATAATGTTCTTCATAACAGAGGGATCCAATTTAGGGTTCCATGTTGAATACAATTGCTTCAGTTTTTGTCCTAGCTGGTAGGCTTTCTTTGACTTTCATGACTTTGAAACTTTAAAAAAAAAATTACAGGCAAGTTATTCTGCAAAATGTGTATTATTGTGGGTTTGTCTTAGATTTTCTGATTAGATACAGGTCACTCACCTTTGGCATTAATACTCAAAAGCTTTTTTTTTTTCATCCTGTCTTATCACATGGTACATGATTTCAGTTGAATCCATTACTAACAGGGTTTACTCAGATTACTTGTATAAAGTGGTACCTTCAGAGCTTCTCCCCTGTTGCTCTTTTCCCCTTTGTACTTAATACGTAAAAACTATGCAAGCAACCCTATTTCTAATCAAATGTTCGATTTATTTATTAATTTACATCATTGTTCCGTGTGGCGGGCCATTATTTTTATTCTCAAGTTGTCCCAGATCTCGTTAGTAAAAACCCATTCAAGTTGGTTTCTGTGTCCTTTTGACATTTCCGGTCATGTGCTGTGGCTGGTATGGGCTGGGGATCCCAGAGCACTCTGAGCTGGGGCTGTTCCAGTGGGATGGCTGGAGTGAAGTATGCCATGGGCTGGGGATTCTTTGTGCAGAGGATACCCAGACAGGACAGCTGAAGCTGAAGAGGGTGCAAGCCAAGTGCCCCTAGTATGTGCAGCATAACGTCACCCTGGTAGGGTGGCTGGAACTGAGATGGGTCACAGACTGGGGTGTCCTGGGGTGCTCTATGCAGCGGGAGCTCTGTTGTGTAGTGCAAAAGCAGCTATGTACAATACTTAAACTTATGAAGATGGCTGTGTTCCAGTAAAAATTTATTTAGAACAACAGGTGGCAGAGTGTAGTTTGCTAATCCTTGCTTTATTTTTTTTAAATAAAGATTTCATTTATTTGAGAGACAGAGAGAGATATAGAGAGAGCGCACAACAGAGGAACAGCACAGGGAGAGGGAGAAGCAAGCTCTCTGCCAAGCAGGGAGCTGGATGCAGGGCTTGATCCCAGGGCTTGATCCCAGGGCCTTGGGATCATGACCTGAGCTGAAGGCAAGATGCTTAACTGACTGAGCTACTCTGCCTCCCCACTAATCGACTTGCTTTAAATGGAGAAAGAATGTAGCTCTTAAAGAGTTGAGCGGAGCTAATGAAGAAAAAATTTATTTCCACAGCCATTAATATTATTTTCAAAAATATTTGACTCCAGAGTAGAATCCTGAGCTCTGGGGGGGGGGGGGTGATATAAAAGAATCAAAAATCATAATTCCTGATCTAGTTTGGGGACCTTATTAAAAGAAGCAAGTTCTATATGAACAAAAACTTGCAAAGGACAAGTGGACTGATTGATACAGACCAGGACATGAGTAGTTAAAGGTCGCTACTAGAGCGGCTCAAGAGATGGGGAAAGTCTCCACATTCTTAGTGCTTAGTTCTTCACATCTTTTCCACAATAATCACAGCAAACAGGCCTTATAGTGGGATGATAAAATAGAGATCCAGGGTACCTACGGCGGGCCGGCCCTATAGTGAAGGTCCCTGGGATTCCATGAGGCAACATGAAGGTTCTGGGCATTCACTCAGCCAATATTTATTAAGAACCCACCATGTCCCAGTGGTAAGCTATCTCACTGTGTATCAGTGCGCAAAACAGAAGAGAATCTCTATTTCATGGAGCTTGTTGTACTCTAGCAGGGTGAGGTCATGCATGTATGTGTCCGTAGTCTGTCCTGTAATGACAAGTGTTATGAAGAAAAATGAAACAACGGACAGGGACAGGGAATCATTGGTGGAGCACTGGTTTGACAGGTTGCTATTTACTAAAGGTTGGTTAGGGAAGGCCTCTCTGGTCAGAGCGAGCACCTGGGAGCAGATAGCTGACTCTCCGCAGGCCAGGATGAGAGACCATATAGTTCACGGGACCAGATGAGAGAAGGACTTTCCAGGCAGAAGGAAATGTAAAGGCGCTGGTTGTCTGAACACAGTAAGTGGAAGGATTAGAGATTACGACAGACAACATTTCTACTACGTAAGTGCGGTGCTAGCTCTGCAGAGAAAAATGTTTAATGACAGGGGAAAAAAAAAAGAACAATACCTACTTCGTCTATATAGACATTTACAAATAGTAATACTTTAATAAAAGGTCAGTCTTGAAACCAGTACTGTCAGCCTCAAGGTCCTTTAGCCACGAGCCTTTCGTTCTTACATGGTACGTGGTGTAGCCCAACGCACCTGCAGCAATATTGTGCTTCTCTACAAGCTGAGGTCTGATCCTCTAACAATGGGGTTCTTTGGCCCCTTCAGTTGACCATTAATGACTCTATGACCTTTAAGAAATCAGTGTTTCAATTTTCCTGGGGCATTAAAGATGCTGGGGGCACCAGACATGTCTTAATCGGTTCTGGCTGCTATGACAAAATACCATAGACTAAGTGACTTAAACAACAAATGCTAATTTCTCACAGTTCTGGTGGCCGGGGAGTCCAACACTGAGGTGTCAGCGGATTTATTTACTGGTTAGAGGTCTCTTGCTCACAGCTGCTTTCTTCCTGCATCCTCACCTGGTTGGCGGTGGGGGGGGGGAAGGAGAGAGGGAGAGAGAGAGAGTTCTGGTCCCCTCCTCTTCTTATAAGGGCACTAATCCCATTATAAGGGCTCCACCCTTAAGGTGTCATCTAACCCTAATTACCTCACAAAGGCCTCACCTCTAAATAGCATCATATTGGGGATTGGGGCTTTCACATAGGAATTTGTGGGGAGGATAAACGTTCATTTCCTAGCCAAGCACAGTTTTCCTCAATCAGAATTGGCATATTTAAGCAAGAAATTTTAGATAGACATTAGATTAATAGAAAGATAACAGAAGTAGAAACATTAACAAAAATAAGAGAGATAATTAAATATAAAATATATTTACTTACACTTCAGCATGTAGAGGACGCTCCATAAATGTTTGCTTGTGGTTAATTCAAAATAATTCCTGTCACACGTATAGCGCCGTACTTTTACATACACGAGTACTTAGCAGTGTTTCTATTTTGTTTCTATCTTTTGCATATTTAAGGAATTGTTTATTATGACACTTTCGTAAATGAATGGAAGGTGAGTAGAGGCTTGCTAGTATATAGTGTCAAACACTGTCACTCAGATTATGCACTCATTTCTTTTTTTTTTTACTTCCGTATAAAATATTTTGTGCATTGTTAATAGTTATTATTAACCTCTTCCAACTAGTTAATAGTTAACCTCTTCTCTCCTGTCACTTTCTCTTAGGGCTTTTTTCTCATGAACTGTCCGGACTTAACGCCTTTGGCTTCCCAGCTGATATATCTTAACTTATCCTTTAATGACATCAGTCACTTCCCCACAGAAGTGAGTCCATTTTTATCATTGTGTATATTGCACTAATTTCTTATTAGTGATAATTATAATAAAAAAATAGGCCCTTATGATAACCTGGAAAAGAGTTAAAAATGAGATAGATGATGCAGCCACTGGATGTTCCTTTGCTGATTCTCTTACATTGGTCCAAAGGGTTTATACAGTGCACCACGTAGAGATGTGCACATTTATCGTTCTACTCATGTTTGTTTCTCTTTTCTGCTCCTCAGGTATTTTGTCTTAAAAATCTACAAATACTATTGCTGAGAAATAATCCTATCAAAGAAATCCCTTCTGAAATTCAACAGCTTAAGTTCCTTAGAATTTTCAGCATTGCCTTTAATTTGATTACCACTCTTCCACCTGGGTAAGGCCGAGAGTCTGAGATTATGAGCCCAGAAAATAAAGAGTTTATGATTTTTATGATTTAGAAAGAGATCAATTTCCCTTTTGAAAGCAGCTAGCAACTTTTTTAGCCATTAAATGTTTCCCATTCTCTTCTGATTAGCTGATTTGCTTCTTGTCATTGTGTTCAAAGTAATCCTAGCAGCTACATAGACGGCAATTAATGCGGGGCTAGTGAATGCTCATCTAGAGATCCATTATTTGAGTATGGGTTAAATGAACCCCAATCCTAGAAAGAGGCTTAAGTGAGAAACTTGCACCGATCCCTTGACAGCCTTTTGGGATATGGAAAGGACACTGAATGTGGAATTAGGAAACCTAGACTTTTAACTTTAAAGTTGATGATGGTCTGTTTCACCTGGAGAAAATCACTTGACCTTCTTGGTCTTTCCTAATCTATAAAACTAAGAAAATTAGCCAGTATGTTACATAACATCCTTTAATAGGAATGTTGATATTTGGGTATAAAAGAGATGGAATTTCTCCTGACCTTTGGACTGGAAACTATCTAACCCCTAAGCCCCTTGGCCAAATGCAAAACAAGGTATGTCTTCCTGTTAAGAGTTGAGCAAATTGCATGTGGGTTAAGGGCAAAGGGACAGGGACTCTTAAATAGTCGAATAACATTTTGTAAAGAAGATTCTCACAGTAGTTAAGGAAATGCATCAAAATTAATTTATAAAGTTGTTCAGTTGTTTACTGAAGATTCTTCAGTAGTTAAGGAAATGCATCAAAATTCATTTATAAAGTTGTTCGCCCAGCACTGTTTATAATTATCACTGCAACAAATTCTACATTCATAAACTCTAAGACTGCTCCGTCATTTAAAAGAACAAAAATCAGGCGAAAGTTATACCAGTTCTGTATATAAAATATATATGGATTTCACATTACACATAATATACATAAAAAATAAACACTGAAAGTAAGAGTATTATTGCATTGTATGTATTTTATTTCTGTTTAAATCATCTATATTTTTCAACAGTAACATAAATTGCATTTTCCCTGTCTTGATGCTAGAAGCAGTTATTTCTCTAAGGAGAGACTCTGTTTCCTTGTTATTGGAAGACTATTTAAAAACCGAGATCTGGGTGTTAGATGTCCCATTGCTATTGGGATGACATTGCTACTAGACATTCCCCATGAACAGGGCTAAATAATATAAGTATGTATACTACTCTGTGTGTACACACATATCTATGATCATTTCTATGTATATATGTGTGTATATATATTTGTGTGTGTGTATATATGTGCACATAACTACATATATATGTGCATAGAGAGACACACATATATGATATATGTATATACATATATGCATCTAAATATAAATTTATATCTGATCATCTATAAAATTGTAATTATAAATAAACTTTAATAAGCGCAACCATCATTTAAACAAAATGTAGAAATTCCCAAAGCAACTGCAACTTGCTCCTAACTAGAGAGTTAACACTGTTCACCATTTAAAGATTAGACAAATTAGCTTGAACTATTGATGAACTATTGCTTATAACTCGAAGTTTTAAGGAGCTATTTCTCAAAAATATTAGTGCTTCTAAAATAAAGCAGCGTATTTCTTATTAAATGACATGGGTTATGTATGCATATCAAGGGAAGACTGACAGCACAAATCCACTGAGGCCTGAATATTTGTTGTCCTTCTTTCTGCTTCGGCCTGCTTGGGCTGTAGAGTATAAAGCAAATGCAGAAAGGAAAACCCAGGCTCTGACGACCTAAAGAACTGGGTTCTCATCCTAGCTACGCCCCTTCCAGTTACGCCCTCTATGGTCACAACTATGCCCTTGATTATACTATGCAAAGGTATAATCAACTCAGGTTAAATGTTTGAAGTTTTGTAACCATGAAAAGTCTTTGATTTGTTCATTTAGTTTTCTTGTGAAATAAAGACAGTAAATCATTTCAAAAATCCAAATGGTTTCTTCTTTTTCCCAAAGCTTTGAGACAGCACTTGTTCATGAAATATGCAGGGTGATTTTTGCTCATTGAAGGAGTAATGACATCACCAGACTGGGTCTCTCCCCTCTCTTTGTCCCCTCCCCCCTTTCCTTTCTGTTTCTTGTCTTTTCCATCCCACAAGCCTCGCCTGAGGGCCCTCACAGCCTCCAGAAAGAACCAACTCCACTGACACCTTGATTTTGGACTTCCGGTCCCCAGAACTGTGAGAGGATAAGTGTCCGTTGCTCTAAGCCACCTGAGCTCCTGGTCCTTGGTTATGTGGCCCTAGGAAACTAAGACAGCAACCAAGAAAAGAATATATCTAAAGGTGTTAGAAACTTCTCAGATGGCTTTTTCTGTATGAGGCTTTACCCACTCCAAACGTTTCAAAGCACTGTTAAAGGATAAATGAATCATTTTAGGAACTTCGATTGTAATTAAACCGCCTGTAATGAAAAGAAGTCCATAAATTTCAAGATCATAGAAAAATGTGGTTTCTCTGTCCTTCTACCTATTTGCTCAAGTATTTAATTCTTCATTCATGCCCAGTAAAATGACAAATGCAATCATTTTTAATTCTGTTTTCTCTTTCTATTTAAGGTTATTCTTGTTGTCCCATCTTGAGGAACTTGATATTTCCTACAATAGTATTGATTCTATTCCAAATGAAATCCAGAAACTCAGGTATTTTGGAAGTCATAAGTACACACAAAGTCATATGCCCTCTAAGGACATATTTGGTGATGATTGGTTGGAGAAAATTGAGTTCTTTCATATATGTAATAGCCACAAAACATAACACGTGAAAACATGAAGTTTACAGAAATGTGATTTGAATGATTGGTATGTTTAAGATATAACATTTCCAGTACTTATGTAAAAGCTGTACCAATGGCTACTTGATACAATGACAAGCTTAATGTTGTCCATTTTTCTGTGCGTAGACCTGTAGCTCTTACCAGTTTTATTCATTTGGGGTAAGGAAATACATATATGCAGTATAATCTTAATACCAAGTTCTGATTGTTCCTTACATTGATTTTTAAAAAGTCTCTGAAGTTCATCCATGTCCTTCTAGGTCAGTACCATACTATATTGATTATGACTTTAGAATAATGTTTAGTAATTAGTAGGAAGATTATTTTTCCTTAATAGTCTCGTAATTATTCTCTTTAGATCGGAGGCTTTAAGATCACTTAATATAATTCCAAGTCCCTCCACCCTCAGAAAAACATAAACACAAAACTGAGATTTCCTCTAGAATTATCTTGAGTTTGTATATAAATGTTTGAAGAATTTACATTTCTGATGTTAATCTTTTCATCCTAAAATACAGCATATTTTTTCACTTGTTTAGGTCTTGTTTTATGTCCTTCATAAGAATTTATGACTTGGGGTGCCGGGGTGGCTCAGTTGGTAAAGCGTAGACTCTTGATTTTGGCTCAGGTCATGATTTCAGGGTTGTGAGATGGAGCCCCACCTTGAGCCCGGTCTCGGGCTCCACACAGAGTCTGCCTGAGATTCTTTCCCTCTCCCTCTCTTTTCCCTTTGCCTTTTCCCCTCCCTAAAATAAATCAATAAAACATATATAAAAAAGTATGACTCATTTCACATAAGTCCCTTATCTTTATTACTTTTAAGTATTCTACTTAGAATACTTCATAGTGTTGCAACTTTGAATATAACATTTTCTCTAATTTTTCTTCCTAGCTGACCATTGTCAGTACAGAATAGAGAAAAGCTATGTCTTTCTTTATGTGAATTTAAAATCAAGCTATCTAACCCAAATTATCTTCATTCTGGTTCAGTTTTACTAGATTTTCTTTGGTTTTCTGGGAGCATAGTCTTATCTTCAGTGAAGTGAAATAATTTTTTCTCCGCTTTTCTAATATTTGTACCAATTATTTAATTTCTCCTGTGACAATGTGTTTTTTTAAAGATTTATTTATTTATTTATTTATTTATTTATTTATTTATGAGAGAGAGAGAGAGAGAGAGAGAGAGAACATGAGCCTGGCGGAGCAGCAGAGGGGGAGGGAGAAGCAGACTCCCCACTGAGCAGGGAGCCCGATGAGGGCCTCAATCCCAGGACCCCGGGACCATGACGTGAGCAGAAGGCAGACTTAACCGACTGAGCCACCCAGGTGTCCCCCATGTGACAATCTTTATATTTTAATAGAATAATTCCTCCTGTTCACATTTGTTAGGAGTGATATATTCAATTTTTTCCTTCCATTTTGCTTTGTATTTACTATTTATTTACTGTTTTCTCTTTTCCTATTTGCCTTCTCTGGATGTGTATGTGTGTGTGCATATGTGTTTAATTTTTTTTTTCTGAGTGTTATTTCTTCCCTTTTTTTCTCCTTCATTAATTCTGGAACTCTACTGTACTTTCCCACACTATTACTGGCTATCTTTTTTTCCCTCCAAACACACAGACACATTTTATTTTATTTTATTTTATTTTATTTTATTTTATTAAGATTTTATTTATTTATTCATGAGAGACACAGAGAGAGAGAGAGGGGCAGAGACACAGGCAGAGGGAGAAGCAGGCTCCATGCAGGGAGCCCAACGTGGGACTCGATCCCGGGTCTCCAGGATCACGCCCTGGGCCAAAGGCAGGTGCTAAACCGCTGAGCCACCCGGGCTGCCCCACAGACACATTTTAAAAAATATTTTATAAAATCAAGATAAAAGCTACTTCCCCCACTATGGCGATCCATCCCCCTCTGCTGTCTTCTATCAATAGTAGAGACCCTTAGAATCCTCTTTATCTTCCCACCTTCCCTCCAAATGCACTAACCCCTTATCTGATTCAAGGTGTTGTTGAGATGGTTTTAGAAATTTTTGTTTCGTATTCTCATTAGTATTTTCCTCTGCGTTACATCTTTCGTTATTTAAAGAATAATTTATTTCACCCTGAGAAATAAACATGAACATTTGCAATCATTCTTCATTTATATTTGACTCTGTCTGTTTCAAGACTCATAGCTTTCTGCCCTTCTTTTGTCTCCTACAGAACCTGGAGATACCTCCTTTGATTCATTGGCTATTTAGAGTTTTCTCTAATTAATTTTCCTCTGATGGACTTTATGGGTCATTTTTTTCTTGGATCTTTAACTCTAACAGATAATTGATGGCTCTAGTGAGTGGGCAGTAGCGCACTGCAGCCCTTCCCATAAGTGGTCACCAGCACCGCACCCTCCCCTAGATCCAGTGTTGCACACAGGTGCCTGATGCCAGTTTAATTTCTTTTTCCTTTTAAGTAGTTCTTCCTTTTATCTGGAAAGACTGTGATTTTTTTTTCATGGTCTTTAGTCTTCAGGAATTTTATCAGATTATGCTTGAGTGTGTCTTTTTGTTAATCTGCTGAAACTGTCCTGCACCTAATTCCATCATGACTGGGGGAAACAGATGTTCCCCACACCAATAAGCAATTCCACTGGGTGTCCTACAATTCAACTCGATCCCGACACTATCTACCTGGAGACGGCATCAGCTTCTATGGGTTGAGGGCTCAGTACCATAAGGCGACCCCCCTCACCCACTTCAGATACAAACTGTGAGCCCATGTTATGACCTGTGGCTCTTACCAACCAGCTACAGACTGGAGGTTCCCATGACCCCCTCTTTGGACTTCAGATGCCATTCATGAATCCAGGTTGTTACTTGCACTTCTAATCAATTGGCTGGAAATCAGAAGTTCCCGTGACCTCCTCTTTGGGTTCCATTAATTTGCTAGACTGCCTCGCATAGGTCAGGAAACCTGTTTACTCACTGGATTTCCTGGGTTTTTTTTTTTTTGTTTGTTTGTTTTGGTTTGTGTGTGTGTGTGTGTGTGTGTGTGTTTTACAAAGGATCTATCTATTAAAGGATATGAATCAACAGCCAGATGAAGCGATACATTGGGCAAAATCCTAAATAAAGGAACCTCCTGTCCTCATGAAGTTTGGGGGCTGGCACACTGGCATATTGAAGCATTCTGGTTCACCAACCTGGAGGGTCTCTGACTCTTCTCTTTCTGGTTTTTGTGTGTGGAGGTTTCATGACCTAGGTATGATTAATTAAACCCGGGGCCAGTGGCGAATGATTCAACCTCCAGACCCTCGGCCCTCCCTGGAAATCACGGCCAATCATGATGGGATTCCCTGACAACAGCCCTCATCCTTCTGTGCTTTCCACAAGTCGCCTCATTAACAGAGACCCAGTCGCGGTGGAAAGGGGCTTGTTCTGAAAAATAAGACACCCTTTCACTTTTATGGTTCCGAAGTGATTTCAAGAATTGAGGACAAAAAAAAAAAAAAAAAAGAATTGAGGACAAAAGACAAAATATGTTACAACAAAAGATGTTCCCCTTGTCCTTACCTGCTCAGAAAACTGAAGGGTGTTGGGACCAGGGCCAAGAACTGTGGACAAAGACCAAATATGTATTACTCATAAATCACAGTATCACACCTGTCTCTCCTGGAATGCAATGCACATTTTTTTAAAAATTTTTTTTTAATTTTTATTTATTTATGATAGTCACATAGAATGAGAGAGAGAGAGAGAGGCAGAGACACAGGCAGAGACACAGGCAGAGGGAGAAGCAGGCTCCATGCACCGGGAGCCCGACGTGGGATTCGATCCCGGGTCTCCAGGATCGTGCCCTGGGCCAAAGGCAGGCGCTAAACCGCTGCGCCACCCAGGGATCCTGCAATGCACATTTTTAATCCCAGCTTAAACTTTTTTTGCTTTTTGTCAAAGAAATAGGTTTAACCATCACCTCTTCTCCATTTCTTTCATTTTCCCTTCCTGAGACAACCTATTATTTATACATTAGGGCTCCTGGAGCTATCCTCTGTGGCATCCATATAGTTTTTTCTCATGCTTCTTCTTTATATTTTTGCTCTGTTTGAGTTACTTCTACTTTGTCTTTGCCTCTACTTCAGATCTTTAGGAGGATCACGTTCTTCTTCAGTTCATCCACTTAATTCTTTAGTTTTACAAATGATGTATTTGTTCAAGAAGGTGTGTGCATGTACGCGCGTGTGCGTCTTGTCAAGTGAATTTTATTACGTGTTTCCCTGACTCCTTCTCTGCCTCCACAGAGTGCAGTTGCCTCAGGAGCACTATTCTGTGTGTTTGTTAGTTTTTCTCTTCTGGCTGCTGTGTCTTCTGCTCAAGACCAGAAGCATTCTCAGAGCAACTTCCAGAGAGCGTTTCTTGATGGAAGTTTCTCGGCTTCTGCTCCTGGGGATGCTCAGCTGCAAAGGCTGTCTCGACATGGAGCTCTCCCAGCTTTAGAGATTGTCCAGCCTATCAAACTCCACAGAACTCCTCGAGAGGAAAGAGGAATGCACACTGGTGAAATCTCTAAGATAAAGCAGTTCAGGCAGGGCAACCTCCCTCAGGGGTGTTCGGGGACCCTCACTGGCATCTCCCTAGAGTACAGCACACTTATTCTGGTTGTTCATAGGGCTCTTTGTCGCTGGGCCCAAGGCTTGTGTCTGGTGTAGAGGGAGAAGAGTGACCATGCCAGGTCTCTCCTTTGGGACCGAACTAGCGCCTGAGGTCTTGCTCACCTTTCCCACACTGTGACAGGTGTCATAGTCAGATGGTGGCTGAAGGATGAAGACAGTTGAGGTGCCATATTTTTAGTGTCGTTGTTTTAAATCCCTTCTCTGACCATGTTTTAATACTGTCAGCAGGAATCAGAACCAAAGACTTTGAATTGTGTGAGGGAGAAACTACACTGCACACGAGAATCTGGAGTTCTCAGCAACTTAGGACCTAAAGTCCTCATGTCATCCTCTTCCCTCTTAACACTTTTGAAAAGTTGGACTAGCCTTTGATCTGTTTTTTTGTTTTGTTTTGTTTTTCTTAAAGATTGTATTTATTTATTTATGAGAGACACAGAGAGAGGCAGAGACACAGGCAGAGGGAGAAGCCAAAGGCAGATGATCAACCACTGAACCACTCTGGTGCCCCTTGATCTGTTTTTATGTGTCCCTCATAAACAGATACTTTTTCTTTCTGTCTCCAGCACTAAGTAGGAAGGAGATGAGTGTCTGTAAAACAAACAAACAAACAAACAAACAAACAAAATACCATCAAGACAACTAGTAGAAAATGAGAACATCAGTAATGTTGGTTCTCTTTGAACAAAGGAGCAACTGATACAGTAAAAACCAAAATATTCAGGTGATGGGAAAGCAAAAGTTGGGACATAGAATATGATACATTTTGATGGTGTTAATTTCACTGTTTTGATTAGGCTTGGAGGGAAAAAAATGTCCTGATGTTCAATTTGTTTATGAAAATATATTCTTTCTTTGTGTCACTATCTATATTTTTCTTTTTTTCCATAATGACATGTTACAAAGACCCAAAGTACATGCTTTAACTCTACCAGCCACACAAATGCATTTATTTGCATGATAATACAGTGTTTCATTTGCTTTATAATTCTCTGATTCTGAGGAAGTACTTAAACACTTGTATTTTACTGCTACTGTGTTTGATGCCAGTTTGCAGGAACACTGAGATGGAATTTTACTTCAGTATTATGAATTGCATAAATACCTTTTAATTTTGGTTCCCTTTATTTGCAGATCACTTGAAAAACTGAATGTTGATGGGAATGATCTAACGAGTTTTCCTCCTGCGATTTTGAAGCTTAACCTGAAAAAAATCCAATTTGAGAACACTTACACTCATCCTACTCTTTGGAAAGAAAATTCATTGAATAGCCCACAGCCTCTCACTCAACTTACTTCTTTTTTCTTTTCAAAAAATAATCTACATAAATATTACGATGCGATCCCAGTGGAAATTCAAAAGCTACTAAAATGGTGAGCAAATTCTGCAGCCCTTTTATTTATTTTTTATTTTTTTAAAAGATTTTATTTATTTATTTACTCATGAGAGAGAGAGAGGCAGAGACACAGGCAGAGGGAGAAGCAGACTCCATGCAGGGAGCCTGACGTGGGACTGGATCCCAGGTATCCAGGATCACGCCCTGGGCTGAAGGCGGCGCTAAACCGCTGAGCCACCCGGACTGCACCTCTGAAGTCCTTTTAATGAAAACACACTTTTGAGCATTTAAAATATTATCCATTCGAGGCCAGGTGACAATTTTACTATTAACATACCTACACCCCAGCCTTGAACATACATAGAATTCTTCAAATTTCTTCTTCTGGCTCTTCAGGCATAATAATATTGTTTGAGTTCAGCCTATTTATTAATATTTTCAAGTTACTATTTAATTCCAGGGTGAGTTTCGAATTACTGAGGTGTAACTGGCAACACCTATCCAGTTGTGGTATTAATCTTTTCTATGGACTACTAAGGACATGGAAGTAGTTTCCTCCAAAAGAGGGTTCTTTAGTCCCAGGCATCCTATGCAGGGAAATGCTTTAGACTCTGACTTCCTAGAGACCAGAAAGAGAGCAGTCATATTTAGAGCAGGGATGCGCAGGCATTAATGGCCAGCATGAGAATCATTGCCTAATATCAGGACTAGGGTTTTTAAACCCCATGCATGGGGAATCCACTCAGCTTATCTCTTACTTCCTTCAGATAGTTTAAAACTATTTTTACACCCATCAGTGTTTATATTATTAATCTAACCAATATTTGTTGTATGCTTAAGTAAAATTTCCCAGGAGTATTTAAATTACTAATATTGATATTAGTAATATAAATTACTAATTATATTGAGTAATTATATTGAGGCCAGAAGCCTAAATGGACTAGCAATCATCAAAGAAATGGAGAAAGGTTATTAATAATCTACCAATAAAAAGGGGACCAGGACCTAAAGTTTTCAATTTTAATCCATTGAGGAGTCAATGCTCATGACATGAAATAATAATAACAATGTCTATGGTGTGGTGTTAAAAAGAAAGAAAGAAAGTATAATTAAAACTAAACATCAAAGAAGTTAGAGATGTGGGGGCACCTGGGTGGCTCATTCGGTTAAGCATCTGACTCTTGGTTTCAGCTCAGGTTGTGATCTCAGGGTTGTGAGGTGCAGCCCTACATTGGGGTCCGTGCTCAGCAGGGAGTTTGCTTAAGATTCTCTTTCTCCCCCTCCCTCTGCCCCTCCTTCCATGAGCACATGTGTGGGCAATCTCTCTCTCTCTCTAAAAAAAAATTAGAGATGTAATAGTTGTGGGATACTTTTTATAATAGCAGAAAGAAACATGATATACTTAGAAATATATCAATCGAAATATGTACAAAGCATGTACAGAGAGAAAACTTAAAACTTGACAAAAAAGTAAAGAAGTCTGAATTAAATGAGAAAGATACATTTTCGGGTATAATAAGATTCATCACAAAAGATATGTATCAATTCTCCCCAAATAGAGCTGTATATTCAATGTGGTTTTGGTCAAAACCCCAACAGAGTCTTCTGAGAAACTTGATAAGCTGATTATAACATGTGTATGGAAAAGCAGAGACCCCAAAATAGCCAAGACAAGCCTGAAAGAGAAGCCTAACAAAGTAAGGGACTTGCTGACTAGATATAAAGATGAATTATAAAGTTAGAGAAAGTAATACAGGTGGTATTACATGCAAGGAAAGACACATTAACCAGTGAAAGAGAAGACATAGTCCAGTTACATTCTCATGCATATGTGAAAACTTGGACAAAATAGCCTTGTGGATCAGTAGGGAAAGGAGAGACTTTTCAACAGGTGATACTGAGATATTTGGCCACCTATAGGGAAAAAATATACAGTTATATTTCTGTTATCTGCATGTCACTATCATACATAAAATAATTTCAGTTGGATTAATGATTTAAATAGGAAAAGCAAACTTTAAAAGACTTTAAAATCAAGTATAGGAGGCTAATCTGTATGACTTCATGATAGAGAAAGATACGTTAAGCAAAACAAAAAATAAAACAGTAGAGCCATGTTTTATAAATTTGACAAGTGTTTATTTTCCACGTAATATGACACCATCAATGAAATTAAGAGACAAGCCATTAAGAAGATGTTGCAATGCGTATAGCTGTTGACACATATACATGTCTCCAAGAAATCAAGAAGAAAAGATAGAACCAATAAAAAGTGTATAAGTGATAGGAATATGCCATTCATGGATGATGACACAGAGAGAGCTGATAAAAAAGAAGCGTGTTAGATCTCACTAGTAATCAAGGAACTGTGATATCAAATAGCAATGACAAATTTTTTTGTTTACCTGTTTTATCAAGATTAAAAAGATTGTATGTTGGCAAATTGAATTTAAATTAAAAAAATGTAAACAAACAAACAAACAAATAAATAAATAAATAGATGGACATTCAATGTTGTTTTTGAGGCACCAAGGTGGCTCAATCAATGAAGCATCTGCCTTCAGCTCAGGTCATGATCCCAGGCTCAGTGGGGAGTCTGATTCTCCCTCTCTCTCTACTTCTCCCCTCTGCTCATGTTCTCTTTCTCTCTCTCTCTCTCTCTCAAGTAAACAAAATCTTTATAAAAATTTTCCAAAATTATTTGTCTTTGGATGGCCCAAAACTGGATTATCATATACCATTAGTAGTGCTGTAAACTGGTGAAAGCTTTGTAGAATGCAGTTGGATGGTATCCTACTTACCCCTTGAAACAGAAATTTAAATCTTCAGAATCTGTCTCATAGAAATAGTTACATGTGAACACAAAGTTGGGCATAGGGATGATAATTGCAGCCTCAATGTGCACCAATAAAAAAAGTGATAAAAAATTATGGTGTATTCATATTATGGAATACTATAATGCTATTAATATGAAGTAAACCAAAATGTATTGCAATAAAAAGTTGTCCAAGACATTACATCAAATCTCTCTTTTGAGATGTTATATATAAAATTTAACATGTATACATTTTTATATTAAATTTTTCTTTTTTTAATCTAAAATTGGTAAATTAAGGGCATGTGGATGGCTCAGTGGTTGAGCATCTGTCTTCAGCTCAGGTCATGATCCCAGGGTTCCTGCTCAGCAGAGAGTCTGCTTCTCCCTCTCCCTCTTCCCTTTCCCTCCTTTCATGCTCACATGTGCACGCATGCACTTTTTCTCTCTCTCTCAAATAAATCTCTCTCTCTCTCTCTCTCTCTCTATATATATATATATATATATATATATATATATATGTATACACACACACACACAGAGGCACTAATCCTATACTAGGCTATGATGGAGTCTCTTTATTTTTAAAATGATATATTTATTTTTGAATTATAAAAATAAGGCATATTTATTATAGAAAATTTGGAAAAACATTTATAAAAGCATGTCAAATTTCCTGTGATCGCATTGACCAAGAATAATTACTGTCCTCTATTTGGAATCTATCCTCAGAGTGTTTTCTTACTATGTATCTATACCTCTTTGTTCTTAGAAAATTAGGAGTGTCATATATATTTATCTACTTTATTTTTTTAGCATTTAATTTGTACTTGCGTATGTTTTTGTTCCTCAACTAAGATGGTAAGATCAATAACAAAGGTCCTATTTGATACTACTGTGAGTCTCACAGAGCATCAAATATGATGTCTTCTCTTCAGTAGATGTTTACTAAAATACTGATTTGATGTGTCCTCCATTGCAGCACATCTAGATGTGAATGGTGTCACGGTCCCAAGTTTGGTGAAGGTTTTCAAGTCATCCGATCCTATGATGTTTCTGGAGCAACGCACCTTCCTGTTTTGTTTCATGTCTGTTCTTCTTCCTGCTACAGAAAAGTGAAAGAAAGCAGTTTTTTTTCAGAGAATATTCCTAGTGGAATAATAGTCTAAATTATGAGTTGATAAGTCATGTGATCATTTAGGAGTCCCGCTTTAAAAGCCATTAAAGTTTACGGACATAGTAATTCATTTCTTTGAGAGTATAGGTTCTATTTTCTGTAACTCTTCTTTGTAATCCCAGCCAGTTCGGGAAAAAGTTTGTGACTGTTTAGGAATTGTTGCAGAATAATTACTTAAGAAGGAATAGTTAAAGGTCTTTGGATTTCAGCAAAGATCTAGAAAATTTCATTCAGAGCATGTTTACCAGAAAATGAGAAATGACGGAAAACTTTGCAGAAAAGGGATTATCTTACAACTGGCATTTTCGTGCACCCATTCCAAGTAGTAAGCTAGCTTTTTAAAGTCATCAGTGGGGTTTGTGCCACATATGGACTCGAAGTCAAGTATCTAAGTCCTCTTGGTGAATTTTGGTGGAAATCTGTCCAGTGCCAACCATTGTTGACTGTTTAAGGGAATAAAAGACCCATTCCAGCCCTGTATTTAGTTGTTTGAATTCACCACACAGGCTCTTAGGAAATTGGTGCAATCTCTGGTCAGTTATCCTGACCTTCATCTCACAAAGCCTGATTCCATAGACCGGTGCCAGGATTCAACAGCCTTTGATGATAGTCTGGCAAGAAAATAAAGTAAAACTTACAAAATTACATTGCAGAGCAACGTATGAATACAGTAGAACTTGAGACTTGAAGAATTAGTGCTTCATAAGAGGAAGGTAAAAGCATTTTGATATTCAAATGACTAAATTTTAGAATGGCATAGAATTGTTTCATATTTGGCATGTTTTTTATGTGCACTTAAATCCAAAATATCATTACTAATGATGAAACTTGATGAAATCAGGGAATCCCTGAGTGGCTCAGCGGTTTGGCGCCTGCCTTTGGCCCAGGGCGTGATTCTGGAGTCCCGGGATCGAGTCCCACGTCGGGCTCCCGGCATGGAGCCTGCTTCTCCCTCTGCCTGTGTCTCTGCCTCTCTTTGTCTCTCTACGTCTATCATGGATAAATAAATAAATCTTTAAAAAAAAAAAAAAGAAACTTGATGAAATCAAATGAAATTTATACAGGAGTATTATCTTTAGAGAATATCAGAAAATACACATTATGTCAGGTGTATGTGTGTGTTTCATTCAGTAGATAAGCCAGGAAAAATATTTTTTTCTGACTATTGATTTCAATAAATTGGGATACTCATGTGCTTCTCCTTGAAATTCAGTTTGATTTTAAGCAGAAATAAGAAAATGTTGCTTGAGAAGTATACACCATATTCACCAGCAAAAGAATGAAATTATTTATATAGAAGTAATTACCATATCACACACGTAATCAGAAGGGGGTATTTTTAGCATAATAACAAATACATGTATTAAAATTTAATATATCCATAATTATAAAACAAGATAAAAAATAAAATTAAAATCTAGTGGCATACAGCTTATTAATACTCACCTTTGACCCTGAAATATTTCTTGGAAGAATAAGTACACTTATTTTTTAATTGAAAAAATGTTGATTTTTGCTTTGAGTAACAGGATAATATATTGAGATAGGGAATAAATAAATTGAGATAGGGAAGAAAGAACAGGTTTCAGAGGAAATTGCAATATCTTAGAGATGCTGCAGAAAAATAAATACACCTAGACATTCGGACAAATATGATATACATTTAGAGCCCAGTCTCATTGTTTCCTCATGGTTAGTGTAATCTCGAATCTAAGTGATCCAAGATATACTTATTACATAAACATTTGAAAATAAAATGAAACCTAAGACAAAAAGTTCTCCTTGTTATGCCACCCAGTGAAAATCAAAGATAACCTGTACATGTGTATATGTGAACGTTTACATATAGCTTTAAAAAAAGAGATTATTTATTTTAGAGAGAGCAAGAGCACGAGCAGGGAGGAGGGTCAGAAGGGGAGGGAGAGAGTCCTCAAGCAGACTCCTGCCTGAGCTTGTAGATTGACCACAGCTGGATGCCAGGACCCTGAGATCATGACCTGAGCAGAAATCAAGCCTGTCACTTCATCGCTGAGCCACCCAGGGGCCCTATATTACTCTTTTCTAAAAATGGGATTATTTGCCTCACACCACACACAGTAATTAATTTCTAGATTCCTCAAAGGTCTAAATTGAAAATATAAAAAATATTAAAAATTTTATTAAAAAAATAGAATCAGGGGAATCCCTGGGTGGCTCAGCGGTTTAGCGCCCTCCTTTGGCCCAGGGTGTGATCCTGGAATCCCCAGATGGAGTCCCACCTCAGGCTCCCTGCATGGAGCCTGCTTCTCCCTCTGCCTGTGTCTCTCTCTCTCTCTCTCTCTCTGTGTGTCTCAAATAAATAAATAAATAAATAAATTAGAATCAGAAAGCTCTTTTAAAGCAGGAAATGTAGGGACACCTGGGTGGCTCAGCGGTTGAATGTCTGCCTCCCGCTCAGCGCGTGATCCGGGGGTCCTGCGATCAAGTCCCACATCGGGCTCCCCATGGGAAGCTTCTCCCTCTGCCTGTGTGTGTGTCTCTCTCTCTCTGTGTCCCTCATGAATAAATAAATAAATAAAATCTTTAAGTAAATAGATAGATGATAGATGATAGAAGATAGATAAAGCAGGAAATGCAGCCCAAAAGAAAGGATGAACGGATTGACTATGTAAAAATTTTTTAAATCCCCGTACATCCAAGATCATCATAGACAAGGTCAAAAAACAAGCAACACACAGGAAAACGTCTGGAACACATGACTGACAAACAAGAAAATCTTGATTGTAAACGACAGAAACCCTCTTGAAGGAAGTGTATTCGTATCCGTTTTGGCCTGTGTCTTCAGGCGCAGCCAGTTCAGGAACTCCCAACTGTCATGAAGGCATTATCCAACTATCTGTCACCTCTCCTTGAGCAACGCTTTTAAGTTTGCCTCATTTCCAGGTAGCAAGGATGGCCAGGGACGACTCCCAAGTTCAGGTACTGGAATGTCAGGAACCTTCGAGAAAGTGCACTGTCTGCACCAACCATGACACTAAAACAGATTAGGGATGATTTTCATTGGCTCAGCTTGGTTCACAGGTCAGGTTCACATATGAACAAAGCTCTATAGCTTCATGGAGGGAATAGTCTGATTGGCCAGGACTGAGCCGCATGCCAATCTCTGGAACTGGGAAAGGTGGCATTAGCTCTTCCCAAAACACATGAACTCTTCCAAGGAAGAGTTCTGGAATTGAAAATTGAGGGAAGGGGGATGTCTGGGTGGCTCAGCGGTTGAGCGCCTGCCTTCGGCCCAGGGTGTGATCCTGGAGTCCTGGGATCGAGTCCCACATTGGGCTTCCTGCAGGGAGCCTGCTTCTCCCTCTGTCTGTGTCTCTGTCTCTGTCTCTCTCTCTCTGTCTCTCATGAATAAATAAAATCTTTAAAAAAAGAAAAAAGAAAATTGAAGGAAGGAAGAATGTTCTGGGATAAATGTTAAAATCTAGAACTATCGGAGACCTCCACAATTCCTAACACCCAGTAAGCTGTTACAAATAACAATAACATGGGTTCCTGGGTGGCTCGTTCTGTTAAGCATCTGGCCTTGGTTCAGGTCATGATTCCAGGGCCCTGGTTTGGAGCCTGCAACAGGCTCCCTGCTCAGCGGAAGGTCTGCTTCTTCCTTTCCCTCTGCTCCTTCCCCAGGGTGATGGGCATGTGCACTCACTCTCTATCTTAAAAAAAAAAAAATAATAAGAAAAAGGTGAACTAAATCTTTAAATAACAAAATTAAATTATACATGTATTTTCATCATAATTATTATAGAAGCTATTGCTCAAGAATACTTGTATCTGTGTGCAAAACAATTTTTCTGTCTTTCTTGCCTCGATCACATATTGCAAACATTTTTCTAGGTTATTTATATCCAATATTGATAAGTCATCATGGATGTGACCTAACTTGCTCATTTAAAATTCTCTTGCTGAATAAACTATCCTCAGTGTTTATCGTAACAATAGATTTAATAACTTTAACAAAAACTCTTCAAGCTAAATCTCTGCCAAAATCTAGATTTGTTTTTATTTTATTTTAATAAAAATTTCTGGCATTAAGATCGCTAGATAGACATTGTGCAGGGATTTAAAGTTTTTTATTCTTTCTTTCTTTCTTTCTTTCTTTCTTTCTTTCTTTCTTTATTCATGAGAGAGAGAGAGAGAGAGAGAGAGAGAGGCAGAGACACAGGCAGAGGGAGAAGCAGGCTCCATGCGGGGAGCCCGACGTGGGACTCGATCCTGGGTCTCCAGGATCACACCCTGGGCCAAAGGCAGGCGCTAACCCGTTGAGCCACCCAGGGATCCCTAAAGCTTTTTATTCTTAAGATAAAATTGTTACCCTCATATCTGTTCAGCTTTTCCCCAGCAGCGTGTGAGATGCCCTGTTCCCAAACCCACAACATCATTGATTTCAGGTAACTAATTAACTATATACATTGCCAATTAGATAGAAAATGCATATGATTAAGTTACTTCCTTTTATTACTAACAAAGTTGATATGAGTCCATGTTAAATAGTCATACTTCTATCATCTTTTGTGATTTTTCTCTTTACATCTTTTTCTGATGTTTCTATTCATATGTCCCTCTTGTTGGTTTGTAATGCTTTATGTATGCTGAGAACGTTAGGCTCCCGCCATGTATGATGAAAGGTTTTTTCCTCCATTAACCCCCTGCCTTTTATTTTTATTCCAAGTGGGGAGTTTTTTGACATTAAGATTTTAAATTTTAGGTTATAAAATCATCATGGATGAACCTGGAGGGTGTTATGTTAAGGAGGATGTTAAGCGAAATGAGCCAAACACCAAATGAAAAATATTGAAAATGAAAAATCTCCCACATATGTGGAGTCTAAAAAGGTCAAAGTCATAGAAGCAGGGAGGCAAGCAGTGGGGCTGGGGTTAAGGGAAAATGAGCAGATGTGGGTCCTAATCAATCTATTCCCTTATGTTTTCGTCTCTTACTGCTAAACTTAGCAAGTCCACATTTCTCCCCAAATTACATAAATATCCACCTGTAGTTCACTTATTTTACTTTTTTTTAAAAAAAAGATTTTTACTTATTCATTCATGAGAGATACAGAGAGAGGGAGGCAGAGATACAGGCAGAGCAGCCTGACGTGGGACTCGATCCTGGGACCCCAGGATCACGCCCTGGGCTGAAGGCAGGCGCTCAGCTGCTGAACCACCCAGGCATCCTCACTTATTTTACATTTTAATCCTGATTCATCTCAAAATTACTTTCGTATGGGACGTGAGGTGCTGGTCCAAATTTCTAGAATGCTAGGAAGTTGTATCCCATTCATTACCTACTGAAGCTTCATCCGACCAACTTGAAATGCCATCTTTATGATGCACTAAATTCTAAGATAATTAGGCCTATTTTTTTAGCTTTCTACTCTATTCCATTAACTTGTCTATGTGATGCCAACACCACAGTTTTAATTATTTTAATTGAAACCACATCTTAATATATCTCAAAGAAAAAGTCCCCACTCATTGCTAGTTTTTTCAATACTTTTTTGAAGATTTATTGATTTACTTGAGAGAGAGCGAGAGAGCAAGAGAGAGAGAGAATCCCAAGCAGACTCCTTGAGCTGAGTGTGGAGCCCCAAGCGAGGATCAATCCCACAACCCTGAGATCAGGACCTGAACCAAAACCGAAAGACAAACACTCCACCCACTGAGCCACCCAGGTGCCCCTGTTCAATACTTTTTATTCTTATATGTTTATTTTCTACAGTATTTATTAAAACCTTTAGTTGTTTTGTAAGCTGTTTTGAATTTTTGTTAGAAATCGAAGAAGACTGATACCTACACAATACAGAGTCTCCACATCCAGGAACACATACCGTATGACCTCACTGATGTAATAATGATAATAATAATGATAATAATGACAATAATAATAATTCAGCCTTTGGGGGATTTTCTTCTATAAGACATACATTGTTTATGACAAAATGCTGGCGTCTCATCTGGAGCAGCGATCATGAATATTATCACTTATGCACTTATTCAAAAAGCAGAATTTTTAAGCTCAAAGGTTTGATCAATGCAGCTCCAAGGAATACTCTGCCTCGCTCAGAAAAACTGGATGTCAGCTCTGGTTGCTCTCTGCCCCGTCCTCTTGGCCACCGTCAGGACTCAGTGCGAAACCTGCACGCTTAGTTGGCTGTGGCACAAGGTAGGTGTCGGGGATGGGCCGGCAGGGCCTCCTAAGTCCCCTGTTCCTGGGAATTGTCATTTCCTGCTTGGAACCTAAGGAGGGAGAAGTATGTAACATGCCCTGGGGAGCTCAGAAGTCACTTACTGGTGTCACCGTTCAAGCATCCCCTTAACTAAGTGTAGACGAAGTGCTTTGCTTTCCCATACCTGAATTCATACCCCTGGGCCTGTACCCTGGATTATTGTCTCCCATAAACTGCCCCTCCAGCAACACACCACATGTGACAATTTGAAGAGATTCCATGGTGTCACCATCTGCCAGAGACACAGGGGGTGGAAATGGGGGAGTACCGACCCCCAACCAAGGCAGCCCAGAGCACTCTCCAGCCCCGGGCTGGCACAGCTGCAGGGAGCAGGCCAGGGGCACCACTCCACTTCCTGCAGGTTCCAGGGTCGGCCCCAGGCCCCAGAGTTGGTTGCTCAGGAAGCCCAAGGAGTGTCCTGTTTCAAAGCGGTGACTGGGCGCTCTGCTGAGCCAACTCCATCCCTCTCAAACCCCCAGCCTCAGGGTCCTAACTTCCAATAAGGTGGAGGAGAGCAGAGATGGAGGCCATGCCCGAGGTTCACAGGAATGACTGACAAGGTACCTGGGGCAGGACTTGGCATTGAGCAGGTGCTCGGAAAAAGGTAGCTCTTATTTTTAATGTCAGGGTGTGTATCTTGCCAGACTCAACCCAATTCTCTCTTCTCCTCTACCCTGATGGCTGCCTCCAAGGGCATTATGATTTCTTTTTATATTGATTTTAAACACATACATCTCCAATTTCTCCTGTTTTTCAATGATCAACAGAAGGACATTTCCTTTTTTTTTAAAATTTAAATTTTTATTTATTTATGATAGTCACACACACAGAGAGAGAGAGAGGCAGAGACACAGGCAGAGGGAGAAGCAGGCTCCATGCACCGGGAGCCCGACGTGGGATTTGATCCGGGGTCTCCAGGATCGCGCCCTGGGCCAAAGGCAGGCGCTAAACCGCTGCACCACCCAGGGATCCCAAGAAGGACATTTCCAATTGAGTGAATGTCAATTGAAGATCTCTGATTTTATTATTATTATTATTTGTTGTTTTCATTACATTTAAGGGACAAGGAGGAAGGAGAGATTGATGGCAAAAAATTGAACCTGTTTTCCATTTTCCCCACGTTGTGCTTAGTTAAGCACTTCTAGTCTTTAAATAGGATTCCTTTGGCTAGCAAACAATGCAAATGTTCCAAATGCAATTAATCTCAGAAACCGGTAACTGCACAAATCAAAAATGCCAAGCCATTTTGATGATCTAGCCACTCTTTTCTGACACGTCAGGAATTGCTATTTTTCACCAATAAGAAGTGCTGTATGTTTGATCAGAAAATGGTACTTGGAGGACATGTGTGTGGGAGGCCAAAGGGCCCTTCTGGGGAGACGTGAAGATTCTGTGTCTTGTAGTGGAAGAAAGAAAATAAATAATAATCACATCAACTTTATTTGAATAAAACTTTCAAAAAAGTGTTCCCTGGAGATCATTTTTTTTTCCATTGAGTTCAATTCACCAGGGATTAATTGAGCACCAACTAGATGCTAGGAGCCATGAAATATAGGCTCTCCGCATAAAGTATAATGTGGAATGTTCCAAGACAGAGGTATGCCCAGCATGGCAGGAGCGCAGTGAAGTAGCACAGAGCCGATCATGGAGATTCAGGGAAAAGTTCCTGAGGGCCTATTTGTCAAGCCAAATGGACTGGGTTGATGTAAAGTTTACAGCAGAGGATTTGGGGAGACAAGGCCTAAGGTCAGAGAAATAAACAGGGTGGGCCATAAGGCTCTCATGCGACGTGCTAAGAAGTATCATTAGCTGCTAAAGAGTCACTGAAGATTTTAATAGAAGAATAACATGATCAATTGTGCATTTTAAATAGATTGGAAAATTCAGAGAAGGTGCTGAGGTTTCCAACCAGGCATGAGAGTGGTAGCAGGGAGGGACATTTTGCAAAATATTTAGAATGTAAAATTAGCAGAACGGATGTTGGGCATGAAGAAGAAAAGGAATCTCTGGAATGATTCCCTTAATTATTTCACCAGAGGAAGAAGTTTGAAAAAAAAAAACTTAACTTCACTCAATTCTCCAAGCTGATAACTATGTCATAGAAAAAAATAGTTATATAGAACTGATATGATATTTTAAAACTGCATATTGGTTTTGAATTCATATTCTGTCAAAGTGGAGTTGAGGCTACCTTATGCACTTGCCCCTTCTTGAAAATCCAGATCTGCCAAATAGAACAAGGGTGATTATTCCCTTTATACATGGATTCTTTGTTTTACAAAACAAATCTTCATATGACACCTTTAAATGGTCAGCTATAAATATAAATATGATTTAATGTTCTGCTCCTCAGAAATATACCTATTTTATAAAACAGACATGTACATACTTTTGAGTTGATTTGTGGGGTTTTCCCCCAAGAAATTTTTGTTGTTGTTGTTGTTATATTTTTTTAGAGTAAGCGGTAGGTCAATATTTTCTTGGATGAATTTGTTTATTTATTTATTTATTTATTTATTCATCCATTCATTTATTCATTCATTCATTCAATTAAATATTTATTGAGGTCTTATTGTATGCCAGTCACTGTCCTAGACACTTCAACCATAGCAGTGAATGAAACAGACAAAAGTTCCTGTCCTCATGGAATTTGCATCCTGATAAATTGTCCCTTTTTTCTTTCTTTCTTTTTTTTCCCCCTTTTTTCTTTTTAAAAAATAGGGTATGTTATTTTCCCTATCGCTGGTTTTAAAGGCATTTTCTAGGATGGTGCCTGGCACATGGCAGAGACTTTCTATATACTTATTCAATTGGATAAATACTCCACAGAATTGGAGAAAGTGACTCTAATAATATATTGCACTTCACAATTTTGAATATTCTGATCTATTGTCAGAATATTCTTTATTTTAAAAAGAATTCAGGTATTTCCTCACACTCTTTAAGTGATTTATCAGGAGAAGAAGACTCTATGATTTGAATACTCCTAATTTGCTCACTTAATCTCTCATCAAATAGTGCACTGTCTTGGCATCACTTCAGACTCTACATACCATTCATTGTAAAGCAGATTACATTGCCTAAATATTTTATAATTTGCAAAGCACGTTCATATCCCAAAGGAAAGGAGAAATTTTTAAAGCCATCATTTTTTCTTAGTGTTACACGTGTGTACGGAAAGTGGATTACACACCACATTTCCTTTTTCTTTTTTCTCCTTTGGAATCGAATCCTGATCTTTGACTTGGCACAATTGCTTCACAATATAAAAATACTGTGCTTCCCAGGCTCCCTTGCAGCTAGATCCAACCACTAAGATATGGCGATAAAATGTAAGTGAAAGCATTGGTAGGATACCAGGAAGGCTGGTTAAAAAGAACAGATTGATTTGAGAGAAGACCCTTTTTGCCCTTTGATCCCTCCCTTTTCCTGCTACCTGGAATGCAGACAGGATGGCTGGAGTTCCAGTGGCCATTTTGGGCCAGGAAGTGATGTTGAAAATAGAAAGTAGGGGCCTACGTCCTTTGTGACATTATAAGCCACCATGTCAAATTTGTATGCCCACTTTAAAAATGAAGAGAATTCAATTTCTATCTTGCTTTAGGCACCAACTGCCAATATTTTGGATATTTCTGTTATCTCCAACCAAACGTAATCTTAACAAATACAGCTTGTAATGCACTCCAATCAACTACATCAGGAAAAAGTCAAATACTCCCTTTACTAGAGTAATGTGTTTTTAGCTCATTTCTTTTTCCTTTCAAGCTGTCTTAACTTCCTTTTTTAAAAAGATTAATATTTTTGGGGGAGAGGCAAAAGAAGAGGGAGGGAGAGTCTTAAGCAGACTTCATATTGAACTCAGAGACCTCAGTACCCGGAGATCACGACCTGAGCCAAAATCAAGAGTTCGACACCCAACCAAGTGCACCACCCAGGCGCCCCTCTTAACTCTCTCTCTCTTTTTTAAAAGATTTTATTTATTTATTCATGAGAGACAGAGAGAAACAGAGACACAGAGACACAGAGACACAGGCAGAGGGAGAAGCAGGCTCCATGTAGGGACTCGATCCCAGGTCTCCAGGATCACACCCTGGGCTGAAGGCCACGCTAAAGTGATGAGATCCCCAGGCTGCCCTTAACTCTCTTTTAAACCTGATTTCATTTAGGTTTATATGTTAGGCTGGGGGCCAGGGCAAGCCAACTGATTTGCCCATGATCCCTTGGGGGCTGGTGGGGTGGGGAGTCAGCTTCTCTCACCTCATCCAACGCTGGTCTATATGACCTACTGGCAAGGAAGAAAGCAACCACTTCTGGTCAATTGTTTTCCTCCTCATACCTCTGTATACCTCTGAAAAGGAAGGGGAAAAAAAGTCTTCTGAACCAGCAAACCAAGAAAGCCTAGGGACAGACGTAAGCACGCAAGGTCTGCTTTGCTATCGGGTGCCCAACATCTACCAGGACAGATTCATCATAGTCCCTGCTCCCCACAGACATTACTAGGCAACCCTTAGCTCTCACCTGCTCGGCCCAGTTCTGCCTCTGAGTCTTTGTCAGAATAATTCCCCAACTCAGCTTCTCTTTGTTGACATGTTAGCATCTTATGCATGTATTTGATATCACCTCATCTAAGGTTGCTAAGCTGTTGTTTGCTGCTGGTTAGCAGCTGTTATGCGACACTAAGATGGGACTCCTGCTGTTTCTGTTTTTAAATGCTTAAAGTTAAATAAATAAATAAATAAATAAATAAATAAATAAAGTAAAATGATAAGTTTCCAAATCCAGGTCATATATAGAACATTCCACAAGGGTTGAGTTACATCTACTTTTTGTCTCTAGGACCCTGTGGTCTCTGCTGCCCGCTGGAGGTGAGGTTCCCCATTGAAACATGGAAAGAAAACATGGCCCTGGTGCCCAGGAAGCTCAAGACTAAAGAGTCAAAATGAGGGGATGGTTTTACCCAGAGCTGCAAATTCCTTGAGGAAAAAAACCACCACCTGATTGTTTCATGAACTGCTTGTTGATAGACTTAGCCAGGACGGTAATTCAGGATGGCCAGCTTTGCCACTACCAACCCGAGAAACGCAGAATCTCTTCTAAAACAGAACCGGTTTCATACTCACATGAAAGAAAGGCTTGATCATTTTGCAAGGTCCACACCACGGGGCTGCGAAGTCAACTACTACAAGTTTATCCCCGGCACCGTTCAAGGCTTCCTGAAAAGCATACTAAAAGAAAAAGAAAAGCACAGGTTAAATTTCCTAAAGTCCTGATCGAACTTGATAGAATGTGACACAAAGAATGATTCAAACGTACTGCTTTGTAAACATTTAATAAACTAAAATGAACCAAATAAACTGCTAAAAAAAAAAAAAAAAAGAACCCTCCCTCTTCCTGGTGAGTTGGGGTCTCTCCAAGAAAGCCACAGAATTGCCCCAGATGCCGTCAGCTGGGAGCATCCACCAAGGCCAGAGGCCCAATTCCCCATCACGACAGACAGTGCCAGTGACAAAGACTGTGTCCTTTTCTCCCAATCCCTTTTGGAAAGGGTCTCCCATCCACTAAGCGATGGGAGAGCAAGCTGGGGGAGGGTGGCCAGAGGGTGAGCGGCACAGTTGATCGGGGGCCGGTCCCCCACTGTGGGCTTCAGGCCTTAGCCAACACTATTCTCACTTGTTTAGGAGCTTCCAGTGTGACTGTCACACCCGACTGGATGCTTTGCTGCCGTGGTGATACTGCTCTTATGACCCCAAAGGGTAGCAAGGACTCCTGGCACCTACCAGAGACTTCATGCAGAGGCAGGAAAGAACCTGTCCTTGGAAGAGATTATGAAAGACTGAGGAAAATGAGGCTCAAGGTACTCGGGTGCTGTCCCCTGCTGCCTCCACCCTTCGCCTGCCAGGTCCCTGATGCTCAGAGAAGCAGCCCCAGCAGCTTCACCATCAGGCCGCACAAGGCCCCCAGGCCTGGCTTGAACCCAGGGCCCTGGAATTCCCTAACCCTTTTGAGAGGATTTCTACCCCAGCTGCTCCTGAAAACTGGAAAGGACATTTCCTGACCCCTGGAGCATGAGAAGAATTGGGGTCAGAGTCCTCCAAGTGTCACGTCAGGTTTGAAACGTCTGGCCCTCCTCAACATTTCCACGTCCACTTCACTTGCTGAATTTGTGGGACCACTAGGAAAATCTGAACCAGTTCCATGTTCAGTATGTTTCAGATACAGAAAGCTGATGTTTAGAAATTCTGCAGAGGCCAGGGATATGCCCAGAATAGGATTTTGACTAGATTTCTCTTAAGTTGGTACTTTATGGGGGGAAATGGCCATATTCCTCAGGAACTCAGCCAAACCACTTATAATTTTTTAAAGCTCGGTGAGAATAATGGGCTTACTTAGAATGGTAGAAATAATAGCTTGATTTTCCTCCTTTGCTTTTGCTCTAGCTCAATTTCCCCTAGTTTATGGGTTGTATAAATTTTTGTACTAAAAAGAGATGCACATGAATTGCATTTTTTGATTCCCGGGTCACTCCTGCTTCTGTCATACACTTTTAGTTTGAAAAGTGAGGCCCTAAAAAAGTAAGAATTACCCAAGCAATTTACAGTAATGCAAAATTTGGCTCAACGACCAGATCGATAGTCTACCTAAGGCCTGGGACAGATACAGAGACAGTTACAAAAAGTCATTATCTAATTGGGAAATATCTGCTCGAACACCAGATTTCCAGTTGACCTTAACTAAGGATTCTCTTGGCCCAGAAAGCATGATCATAGACAGTTCTTAAAACAGCATCTGGACAAGGGCATTTCTTTGTAACATCACACATCATATATCATCCTATCACTTTCCAATTTCATTTCACTTCATTTTCATTTCCCTTTCTATTTGGAGATATGCCCAAAAAGAGACCCCAAATCATTTACAGTATTCCGTTTGGCAAAGCTCAAGGAGCCCTCAGATGTCCCTGTATTTGGACTCCAACTGCATTCATTCCGTTAGGATACTACAGGGTGTTTGTTATCCTGGCTATTAGATCCAGCTCCTTGCCCGCCCCTCTTTGACGGAGCAAGTGGAATTGCAGCTGCTCCTACGTCTCAGTGGACACAGTGGATAGTATTTCCTGTGTAAAGACAAATCCTTTTAAAAGAAGCGGGAAAATAATATTATGTTATGAAGGTATCAGGGATGCCATTACGCACCCCTCAGCCTGATGGTCGGTCTAGATCTTGCTCAGTTTGGCAGGACCCCTGCCCAAGCACAGGACAGAGGCTTCCCCGATGCTCCTTTTGGGTCTACAGGTATCCTGGGAAGTTGTGGGGAGGTGTCGGCACAGGGCAGTTGGACAGAAGCAAGCCTGCGGCACTGCTAGGGTCGCCCTGTTAGTCTGTCAGCTGGCAAGGAGCCCGCTTCCTCCTGCGTGCAGCTCGGAGATGGAGGGGATGGTGGTCTCCACACAGGTAAAGCCTGGGTGGGCGGCGATGAAGGCCCCATTTAAGGTGGCTTTTGGGTGCATGCGAGGGACCCAGCACCTACTGATAGTAGGCCTATCAGTCTACTCCTTGGGACCTTCCTCTTACCCCCTTGACAGTGTCTCCTCCCCATCCTGGCCACTCTCTCTTGCTCAGGGCCTAGGTCACTGGGTCCCTATCCTAGAACCACTAGAGCTCTCTATTCTCTATTCTCTGTGAGTTCCTTTCACACACCATCTTTACCGTCTTCCCAAACGGCTCTAGTCCTTTACTTTCATAAGAGAACTTGATTTCCTTATCTAAACCACAGCCCACAGCTCCCAGCCAAAGCATCTGGATTCCCTTTCCTCGGGGGCCCAGAAAGTTCCATCTTCAAAGCTCTTTGAAAACCTTCAAATAGACCCATATCCTAGCTCTACAACAGTGTCTGCTGACAAAGGGTGGTGAGCCCACACTAAACACTCAATTCCAGGAACAGGGTGCTCACCAGAATGTTCCCTCAACAGAACACTAAGTCGGCACAGAAGTAGCCCATAAAAATAATACGTGCGGTTTTCTTATGTTTTCCTACCCCCTTTTTATGACAATATGTCTGAATAAATCAAGATCTCCAATTTACATAACTTTGAGACATCTTAAGAGATCTATTTCAAGAGCTGAATGGGAAGTGGATGAGCCAAAGCTCTCTTCCTAAAGTGTTTTTTAGGTTTGCTCGAGCACACGGCACCGTCAATGCCTGAAATGTCTATGCTGTGATGTTGCAACAATTTTTATCTGGAAAACTTCTTATTTCTTCATCTTTTATGATGCTTCAGGATCTCCAGGCACACCATTGTGTGCCTGTTATCCGTTATTCTGTTTCTCACATCACTCAATAGCGTCTATTCATCGCTTGATTTTACAGGTGAGGAAACTGAAAGCATGAGGTTTTAAAGGGATGGATTTAAAAATGGTATCATTTTGGGTTTATAAACATAAACATGTTGAGGGCTCCTGAGACAAGAAGCCAATTTGTTTTCTGGAAAATCTGCACCTCCTACCTGGGTACATTTCACACACCCAGCAACACCATTGAGGATTATCCTTTGACATATTTAATCAGTTGATAGAGGAAAACAGAACCTTATTATGGTTTATCTCAATGGGTTTTATTTGAAATTCTCCACTTCCTTTTCTTTTCTTTTTTAAGATTATTTATTTATTCATGAGAGACACACAGAGAGAGGCAGAGACATAAGGAGAGGGGAGCCCAATGCAGGACTTGATCCCAGGGCCCTGCATCACGATCTGAGCCAAAGGCAGCCGCTCAAGCACGGAGCCACCCAGGCATCTCCCACACACAAGTTCCCCATTTTCTAATAGTTTAATTTTGTCATCCTTCTGAATTGCGTGGGGCGCAAATGTGACAGAAACCCTAAGCGCGTGGGGGGCAATGCTTTCCTATTCTACCAGGAGGCAGCCTTAGCTATTTCATTTCTAAAAGGAAAGGAACGATCTAGAAAAAGGGGAAGCTAAAAGTAACCCACGTTTCCACGGCTCATTCCAGAAGTAGGAACAGATTGTTGACGCCGAGCAACAAGGAGGAAGCTTGCTGTGCCCCCCTTCTCCACAGCCCAAGTCAGCGCAGGCATCAGCGGCGCCAGGGCAGCTGCGGGCACCGACGCACCGAAACCAGGTGGAGCCCAGCTCTGCCTTTCCTCCTTTTCTTATAGAAACTCACCACTGGCCATGATCACATGATGGTGTCTCTGCTGCTGAAAATTGGATGGAACTTCAGGAGCACGTGCTTGTCAAACATGCAACCCTCCCCCTCCAGCCCAACCTGTGCTCCAGTGTAGGGAAGTGGGTCACACGGAGGCACTCCGTGGCTTTCACACTGCATCAGAGGGTTGTGGCAAACAGGATGATGGGTGTTGCAAGGGGCAGAGACCACAAACCGTCTGCCACCACCTCCAGTCACCACACGGAAGCTCATGGTTGCCTCCCTCTCTCAACCCTTTCCTGGCAAAGAGCATCTGACACTTTGCAAGAGGGCAGCTGCTTTCTGGAAAGAGGGCAGCTCTAACTAAAAGGTGTGATCAGGCAAGAGAAAGAAAAAAAAAAAAAACACCCAACTCTCAGATCACCGGCTCTTTTAGGGTACATCTGCATTCCCAAGGGTGATGGGTCCCAAATGTGAGCCCTTGCTTTTGATTCAGCTCTGAGTGAGCAAAAAGGAATTGAGAAGCAGCAAGACAGAAGCGACGCCCCGCCCCCCCCCCCCCCCCCCAGCAGCCTTTCTGCTTTGGTTGGCCTGTGTTAAGAGCAGATTCTGCTCAGACCACTATGAGGCGCATCCTCCAAAAAGCTGCATCTTCCAGAAGATGATGTAAAGATGGCTCTGGGGGAGCAGGCCTGATGTTCAGAGGAAAGGTCTATTCATTTCCTATCACTGCTGTAAATAATTACGGCAGATCCATGGCTTAACACAAAACACCTGTATTATCTTCATGTTCTGGAGCTCCAAAGTCCAAAATGGGTTTTACTGGGTTGATGTCAAGTGTCAGCAAAGGTGTGTTCTTTCTGGAGGCTCTAGGGATGAGTCCATTTTCCTGCCTTTTCCAGCTTCTAGAAGCTGCCTACGTTCCTTGGCTCATGGTCCCACTCCTCCATCTTCGAAGCCAGCCCTTGTGGCAGGCCTAGTGATCCTCACACTGCCATCTCTCTGGTGCTTCCTCTTCTCTGTCCTCCTCCTGAGGACCCTTGTGATGGCCACAGGCCAT